CCACAGAATCTGCATTCGCCGTTTCTTCTTAGTTTCAATCTACTGAGGTGTTCATTGAGGAGACAGTGTCCTGTTAAAAACCCCGTGACAATCCGAAGATTGTTCTTACTCAGACCCAGGAAGATCTGTGATTTTCTCTGATCATAAGCTCTCAGAAACTTCTTCGAGTGTCCTAGACCATTGCAAGATTTCCATTCCAGGTTGCGGATGGAATCTTCCAAGTTCTTGAGTTCCGCCTTGAGTTGGTTACCACTTGGAAAGCAGAACGGTTCTGGTCCAGTTAGTGGAGTGTTCACTCCTTTCCTAGCTAGATTATTTGCTTTTCATTGCCTTCTATCCCTTGGTGAGCAGGCACCCAGTGTAGGAGGACTTTGTTTTTTTCTTTGCCTAATTTATTCAGCTTCTCTATGCATTCTTTGACCAATTTCGAATTGATTGATACTGAGTTGATCGCCTTTAATGCTGCTTGACTATCAGATAAGATGGCTATTTCTTGTTTCCGATAGTTCCTATCTAAGATAAGTTGTACGCATCTCTCGATAGCGTAGATTTCTGCCTGTAGGATACTAGGGTAAGTGCCCATTGGTTCGGAGTAATTAGCTCTCGGCCCAAACACTCCGATCCCTGTTCCCGTATTGGTTTTGGAAGCATCAGTATACCAAGTTATGGTATGGTCTTTTAACTGCTGGGCAAGCGTTTCGCTCTTCCAATCCTTCTTATTGCTCAATACTACATTGACATGTTTGTCAAAGTTGTACGTTCTTGGCATATCGTCCACTGGGAGTTGCAGAAGTGGTATTTCCTTTTGAGGGTGTTCCAAGCCCCTGATCTGACAATTCTCCCAGTACTAATTCCGTTAGTGACCATTCTAATCATTGTCGCATTGGCATATCTACCAATGACAATGTGCAGTGGTGTTAGATCTAGAATGACCTCCATTGCTGCTGTTGGACAGGTTCTCATGGCTCCTGTGATGCAAACACATGCTAGTCTCTGGACTTTGCATAGGTTTAGCCTTGCCGTCCGTTGCTCTAGTTTTGTGTACCAGGCAACTGCTCCATAAGTAATCATGGGTCTTACTATCATGGTATACATCCAGCGCAAAATGTTAAGGGAGCAGCCCCATCTATTTCCGGCCAGTCTTCTGCATATCATGAGAGCCTTTATGGCTTTGCTGGTAGTGTTCTTAATATGCCTGTTCCACAGGAGTTTACTGTCCAGGGTTATTCCCAGGTATTTAACTTCCTGGGTTGGCAGTATTTCCTTTCCATCTAGTTGGATTCTTTTCAAGTTTTTCAGACTTCACCTTCTGGTGAATGGCACTATCGCGGTTTTGTCTGAGTTGATACTCAGCCCGACAGTCCTACACCATCTCTCAGTGATACGGAGTCCTCTTTGGATAATATCACACAAGGTGCCTTCATGTTTCCCCCGAGCGATCATGACTATGTCATGCATACCCAATGCAGTGTATTCCCGCTAGAGTTAATTCATCTAGTAGTTCATCCACCACCAAGCTCCACAGCAAAGGGGAGGTTACTCCACCTTGTGGAGTTCCTTGCGTTGTTTTAACAGCTACAGTTTTGGTGCCCATCTGAGCCTCTGCTGTTCGTGTTGACAGCATTTCCCAAAACCAGCGAATAATAGTTCTGTTCACCCCTCTTGTTTCTAGAGATCGCCTGACCACCTTATGTGGTATATTGTCAAACGCCCCCGCAATATCCAAGAAGGCACAAATTGCTGTTTCTTTGCTATCCAGACTTGTCTGTATTAGCTCCGTTAATTGGTACAGAGCAGTTTCTGTGGATCTGCCCGTTCTATATGCATGCTGACTATCATGCAGTGGTTTAACCTTTAGATGATTTTCTCCAATATGGTTGTCAACTACTTTCTCCAGCGTTTTTAGTATGAACGATGAGAGACAAATAGGCCTAAATGACTTGGGATTTGTCCAGTCAGTTTTGCCTATTTTGGGTATGAAGATTACTTTTGCTCTTCTCCATGTGGTTGGTATATATCCCATCGCTAGACTGCTTCTTGTAATGCTTAGTAGATGGTGAGTAGCTATTTGCTGACCCTCCTTTAGAAGGGCAGGAAAGATCCCATCCACTCCTGCTGCTTTATAGGGCTGAAAGGTGTCGATCGCCCATTTCAGCTTTTGTTCTGTTATTACTAGCTTGGCCACTTCCCAATCTTCCCTGCAAGGATTGTGAGGTTTAGTGGGAGCTACATAAGTATCAATAGGTATGCTACCTGGAAAGTGTGTATAAAGTAGGAGATTTGCTCTCTCTTCCTCTCCCTCCGTGTAGCTTCCGTCAGATTTCTTAAGTGCCATGATGGGGATAGATCCACTCTTGGCCATAGCTTTGTGTAATCTAGCTGCATCAGGAGTAGAAGTGATGTTTTCGCAAAAGGATCTAAAGTCAGACCGCTTTGCCCTTCTTATCTCCTTCTTATACTCAGTTAATTTCTCGCTGTAGAGCTGCCATTCGCTACTGGATTTAGCTCTATTAAAGAGTCGTCGGACCTCCGATCTGAGTTTGGCCAACTTCTTGTTCCACCAGGGCTTCTTGTTACTTTTTTGTATGCCTTTACTTGCGGGGCAACTAAATTCATATGCATCCAATATTGCACCGCTGACTTCCCTTGCGTACAATTCTAGATGCAGATGGTTTCTGGCCCTACTTGCATCTATACGGTTTAGGTTGTCTACGAGATTGGTGTTATACATGTCCCAGTCTGTTTTTCTTGGATTCCTTCTGAGTTTCTGTTTGGGGTGTGATTCCTCCTAATTTGAACTCGATGATTCTGTGATCTGATAGGGAGGGTTCCGTTGAGACCCTCCATTGTTTCACGTAACTGATTACACCAGCACTCCCGACTGTTAAATCTAACACTTCTGCCCGCGTTTTTGTCACAAACGTGGGGCTGTTCCCTACATTGACCACATGTTTACTAAACACAACGTTGGATTAGTTACAAAAAATAGTTAGCTCCCTACCTTGGGTATTAAAATAAATTTAAATGTTTTTATAAGGTTGTGCCGACGTTGGACTAGTACTACAGCAAAGTAGAAGCTTCTGCGACGTCGAATAAACGTTGTCTTGTAACCTTTTTTGCTTAAGTGATCTTTAGGTGATTCGGACAACGTAGTTACAACGTTGGACAATATAGAGTTTTCCGACGTCAGTTTCAGGACCTATTCCAACGTTATGCAAACGTCGTCTGTTTTACTAATTCCAACGTTGTTTAGATTTCCCTATTCTTACGTTGGTAGGACGTCGAGTCACTACCTTTTTGCAACTGTATTGAACCTTAAATCTTAAATTTTCACTTCATTGTTCTGTTCAGTCATACAGTTCAGTGCTGTTTTTGTTTTTATAAAAAAAAACTTAATTAAAATGGGACATAAGAAAGGTACATATAAAACTAAATTTAAATATACATCGACATATATTACCGATAGTTTATCCACTCCCTCGTTTATTTAGATTATAGAGGGCGGCACAAGCTAGACTCTAGGATGACTAAATTAGGCAATCTTGCGATTAGTATACTACCTGTTAAGGCCGAACTGCGACTTTATTAGTCCAGTATGCGACTACTCGAACTACTCCATCTAAATCTACAAAACAACAAAGTGAAAGCCGCCATGTTAAATAAGAAAATGTTTCGTTCCTAAAATAGCAATTCCTGCTTTTTGAATACATTAACTTGAAATATTTGACCCTAAAAAACACGCGGGAACAATTTTTTCGACTACGAATAAATTATTCTCATTTTACTAAAAAAAAAATTCAAGAAAATTTTTAAAACTTTTTTAATTTTAAGGCCCATTAGTATTTTTCAAAGTAGAAACAATACATTTATCAATAAAGTTGTTTGCGTTTAACTTTTTTGCCTTGGGTAACGAGTTACAGAGTCGGTTAAAGTGTTTCAATAATTATGATCTTCAAACATCCTCCACACTTAAATACATTTGTTTTGTTTTCCTTCACTGCCATCTGACATATGTCTCTAACTAAATCATAAAAATAATATTTTTACTATAATTATCCCAATTTAGGATAAAACGCGACTTAGATGCCATATTAGTTTTGTATTTCTGTGAATTAGGATTTTAAACAACGTTGCAGTTTGTACTAAATTAGGCTTCTAGCCAACGTCGGTATCCAACGTCGTTTCGACCCAAAAATTATTCTCCAAACTAGTGCAGACTAGGGTTGGCACGAGGTTGTGCCGACGTTGCGCCCCGACGTTTGGTTTGCACATTAGTTTTGCGCATTAGGTTTGCGACGTTTCAGCACATTAAACAGTAAACATGTCCTTTAATAGTAACGCATATATCCTCTGGTTAATAACATATTATTACGCATGCTTCTTTAAAAATAAACTATTAATTTAATTAAGAAATTGAGATTTATTGATATCCGGTGAAGGTTTGAAAGTAACCTTTTCTACAAATCAAACTAAGTAGATAGGCGCAAATTTGATATGTGGCAATGTCGCCTTCTCTATTTCAGTTGGTTTTTCCAGTACGTAGTCAACCTCCGAATGTTTGATCGGGTTAAAATGCATAATGTGATATCTGTTCTTCCTAAACAGATTCGTCCAGATTCGTCGTTTTTGCAAAAAAAATAAATTCTAATTGGTAATTAATATTATAATTGGTATTTTAATGGTACCCTGTATCTCGAAAAGGAAGCTTTAAATCTTATAAGTTCATACGAACTTTTTGTGTTGTTTTTGCAAGTTCTATCGTCTATTAAATTTTCCCGATTAAAATCTGAGACACCTTGTGTTTTATTTCTCTGTATTTTTACTAATAAAAATACAACGTTTATTAAACTAAGTTTATTAAACTATTAAACATCTGAGAACAATACAAAACAACATTCTCTCAAGCAGAGTCTAACTTCTGTCAATCAGGGTTATGTCCTATCAAGATGCTACAGATTAAACTTAACATAAAATAATCCATAGATACAACATCTCCCTTCTTAAAATAATTGGTAATCTTTAAATTTAACCGGATTTTTAATTTGTCTTTTTGGACGCTCATTTTCTTGATGTACGGACACTATCTCGGATGAACTATCACAGTTTTGATCCGCACTGTCACAACAAGTATTTTGATCAATCACTGAACCACTTTCAGAACTTTTTAAATGGGAACTATTTCTACGTACAATAGCGCCTCTTGAGTCTTTGACAATATAAGACCTAGGTGAGTCAGGAACAGGTTTAACAATCTGACCTGCCTCCCACTCGTTATTATTTTGATTCTGAATCACAACAAATTGGCCTTCATTAAAACTGTTCCGAACTTTACAATTTAAATCATAGTATTTTTTTATCTAACTCTCTTTTCCTACAAATCTCATTTTTAATATTAGAATTATTATAACTATTTGGTAACAATTTATTTTCATCAATAGGGATTTTAGTTTTTAAGTTTCGTCCCATTAGCAATTGTGAAGGAGTCAGGTTCAGCCCTACAATAGGAGTAGTGCGATAATTTAGCAAGCTTAACATTAAATCTTGATCTTTACGAAGCATCATTTTTGCTATTCCAACACCTTTCTCTGCAAGTCTATTGGACTTGGGGTAATGAGGACTACTTGTGCATATTTTGAAATTCCATTGCTTGGCAAACTGTCTGCATTCATATGAGTTGTATGGCATGTTATCTGAAATTAACTCATCAGGTATACCATGTATTGAAAATATCTCTTTCAGTGCATTAATCACATCATATGATGTTTTTCCTTTCATTTGTTTAATCTCTAGCCATTTTGAATAATAATCCATGAGAATCAGATAATGTTTGCCTCCGTAGTTAGGTATCTCATGTGGTATCATTGGTTCTTTACAGAGTTTTGGTGAATATCTCTCACAAATTTGACAATTTCTTATTAACTTTTCTATCTCAGCATTCATATTTACCCAATATAACATTTCTTTGGCTCTTTGTTTGGTCTTTGTCATTCCAAAATGTGTTTCATGTAAAAGATCTAACATGTCTTGTATTAATGTTCTTGGAACTATCAATCTGTCCTTTAATAATAATAAGTTATTTGATAATGTTATATCATTTTGATATTGCCAGTATGGTCTTAAAGAATTTGGTATCATCTTAAAATATTTAGGCCATCCATTTTTTATATACTCTATTAACTTACTTAGGTCACTATCATGCTGTATAGCTTTCTCAAATTGAGCTCTTCTCTCCTCAGATATACTAAAATGCTTCTCAATACTATGCACTATCTCTTTCATATCTGGATCATCTTGTACTTCATCTTTAATATATGACCTTGACAACAAATCAGCAATATACATATGTTTACCTGGACAATATTCAAAATTTAGATTATATCTAATTAGTTTCAACTTGAGTCTTTGTAACCTTGGTGATGGTACTTTGCTTAAATCTTTCTTCATTATTCCCAACAATGGTTTATTATCAGTTATAATTTTGACATCTCTGCCATAAATAAAATGATGAAATTTACTTACAGCAAATACCACAGCAAGCAATTCTTTTTTCACACTGTGAATAATTCTTTTCAGTGCTGTTAGTGACCTTGAACCATGATATGTTGGTTTGTCCTGCATTAAGCAACAACCCAATCCATCTTTTGACGCATCTGTCTGAATAACTATAGGTTTGTCACTTTGAAATGTCCCTAGTACAAGATCACTAGCTAGTATGTCTTTTAATTTATTTAATACTTCTGTATGTTTTTGATTCCACTGAAAATGTACGTCTTTACGCAATAACTCTCTTATTGGACTTGTTACTTTTGCAAAATTAGGAATAAATCCTCTCAAATAATTTAACATTCCGAGAACTCTCTGTAACTCTTTCAAGTTAGTCGGATTTTCTATAGCCTGAATTGCCTTTACTCTATCTTTACTCGGTTTCATTCCGTCTTTGCAAAAAACATGTCCAACGTAATTTACTTCGTTTACTTTATACTGTAACTTTGTTTGATTAAATTTTATATTTAGCATTTGTGCTCTTTCTATCACCTTTTTCAGTATAGCGTCATGCTCTTGTTCAGTATTTGCTGCTATCAACAAATCATCAAAATATATTATAACACCTTCTATATCCCCAAAATTTTCCTCATTTACTTTTTGAAAATACTCAGGAGCATTAGTAAGCCCAAAGGGTAGTCTCAAAAATTTATAGCAACCAAACACTGTACTGAACGTGCACAACTCACTTGATTTGTGATCTAATTCAACTTGATAAAAACCATCCTTGAAATCTAATACAGTAAACCAACTTTTATTACACAATTTTGAACTTATATCCTCTATTGTGGGAATAGTATAAAAATTTCTTTGTATGGCCTTGTTCAAATCCTGAGGATTTAAACATAGCCGTAAACTGCCATTAGATTTCTCGATTATAACAAGATTGCTTACCCAATCTCCTGGACTATCTGTTTTGCTAATTATACCTTTCTGTTCTAGCTCATTCAATGTTTTTCTTAACTCCTCCTTAATTGCTAATGGTACTCTCCTTGCTGGATGTGCTACAGGTTGACAACACTTTTTAAGCTTTATCGAACACTTTTGAGGACATTTACCTACACCAGTAAAAATTGACTTATTATTTTGAATAAACAATTCTTTACTAGACACTACTGAATCTATGCTTTTAATAAAACCTAGCATATTAGAAGTTTTCAAACCTAATATTGGCTCAGACTTAACATCGGCTACTACTAACGTTAATTTTTCTTTTAACTTGTCATTAAAAATATTAACAGTTATCTGGCCAATAGGCTTGATTTTAAACCCCCCATATGCTTCAAGTATGATATTACATGACTCTAATTTCTTATCATTTAAATGACTCTTATATAATTTTAATGGTAAAATGTCTACTTCACTACCTGTATCTATCTTAAATCTAACAATGTTACCTTTAATGTCCACTTCTTTATATAGTGCTTTACAGTTTTGTGTGTTAATAGAATTTACAAAAAATTTATCAACATTTACATTGTCATCACCCTTTTCTTTTGATACCTCCTTAACCTCTTTCTTGACCGGTTTTCTGGTACATGCCTTTGCAAAATGATTGACTAGGCCACACTTAAAACACTTCTGCCCATATGCCTTGCACTGTTTTGGTCCATGCTTCGAGAGACATTTCCTACAATCAAACTTATTACCTTCATTTTTCTTCAGCTTATTTTCTTTTTCGTATCCTCTTCTCTCTTCTTTTCTAACTCCATATACTTGCTTTTGATCTTTCTGTACTTCATCAATTTGAAGCTTTGATATTTCAGCAACTCGACATTCGTTTATTGCTTTTTCTAAATTTAAGTCTTCACGAGTCAACAATCTTTCTTGTAGTCTCAAATTTGTGATTCCCAAGACAATCCTGTCTCTTATTAGCGAGTCTTTTTGCTCATTGAACTCGCAGCTTTCCGCTAGTTTCTTCAGATCTGTCACAAATTTGTCGATCCCTTCACCCTCTTCTTGTTTACGTGAGAAGAACATATATCTTTCATATATAACGTTTTTTTTCGGATTACAATATTTCCCAAACTCGTCTATGACCTTCTGGTATTGTTTCTTTTCAGCTTCATTAAGTGAAAACGTATTGTAGACATTTATCGCCTCTTGACCCATACAATTTAACAACAAAGCTACTTTTACTTCATCTTGTACTTCTTGTTTCCCTTTGGCCAGTAAGAAAATTTCAAAATTTTGTTTAAATAACTTGAAATTTTCGCTTATATTTCCCGTAAACTTCATCTGCTCCGGCAGCCTCACGTCCATTTTTGATTCTTTTTTCAACGTGTTTACCACAGTGACTACCAACTTCCTGAAATATTCTTACAATCCTTGACTTTTTTGGCTTCTTTTCTCGCTGGCTTTTATTTTTTCGCTGCCACCATGTTTTATTTCTCTGTATTTTTACTAATAAAAATACAACGTTTATTAAACTAAGTTTATTAAACTATTAAACATCTGAGAACAATACAAAACAACATTCTCTCAAGCAGAGTCTAACTTTTGTCAATCAGGGTTATGTCCTATCAAGATGCTACAGATTAAACTTAACATATAATAATCCATAGATACAACACCTTGTATGTCAACTTTTGACATTTTCAATTTAAAAATGGCCATAAATAAAGGTAACGACAATTTTACTCCAAATACCAAGTATGTGGTACCAAATTATTCGTAAAAAATGCTTTTTCCAAATATGCTGAGCCAGCCTCGTACCATTTGAAAAATTTGAGTTATCATTAAAAATACGATTTGGGCATCTTTTAAGTGGCCATGAAAGGATACGAAAAAAAATTACACGATCAAATATATGTTTCCAAAGTTCTTTGATTACAAATTAATAGTTTTAACTTAGTCTTGGCACTCTAGATTGAAATTGAAAATGCTATTTTTATTTAATTGGAATTGTCTAAAATTGACGTATGGTATGTCATTTTCTATCAAATAAAGTAAAAAAGTACTTAGGATACAATCTAAAAATACAAAGTTGTAGTCATTTTCGGTGAAACAGGAAACGACCGAAGGTAATTGTATACGTCAATCAATCCCAATTTATGTCATATACTAACAAACCAAATTTCGTTGTATTATCTGAAAAAATAAAAAAGTGAGCCTCTTTTGAGAAACACCTGGTAGAATCGGCTGAAAATGAATACAGGTCTTAAAAATACAGTATAACGAATAATCTACCAAAAGACCCCTGTAACCCTCCGCCTGCTAAATATTGATTATTCAACGACAAAAGTTCTTAAACTGTTTACCGGTTAATTTATTTAATAAAATGCTTGCACTCGAAATCCGGGCACTCGAAAAAACAGCGACTACCTAAACGCATCCTAGATCTATAGAGCAAATTGGTTGTCGCATTCTTCTCGGCACCTCAGTCCCCGAGACCGATGCGATGGGCTGTGCCGTCGTTTACGACCTGCTGCTACGAGTATATAGTGTGAATTATACATATAATGTTCACGAACGTTTTGTTCGAGTAGCTTGGACGCGGCTTAATAATCGGTTCATGTTGGTGCGTAGCCTTTCATATTCGTCCCCCAACTTACGCTTTTAATAGAAAATCACTACGATTATACACAAACCATATTATTTCCCAGTCGATTTTTAACGAACAAAAGTTGATTCACGCTATACAGGGTGAATCTTAAATAAGTGCAAATATTTCTAGTGGTACTATATTTCGACCACATGACCATATCTGAGTTTTTTTTTTCACAAAAAAAGATGTTGAAAATCGTGTATTTTATTTCTTTTCGTGTATTTCCAAATTTTTAGTTAGCCTGTTCACCGCAAATTTTCCCACGGTATAATTTCTTACTCTTGGCTTTACTCTATGATTACGGCACTAAAAGGGATACAAACTCAGAAAAAATCCGGTTACTCTCAAAATTTTTTAAACATAAATAAATTTATTTTAAATTTTCAAACTTGAATAACTCGGTTATTTTAGACTGTAAAAACGGTAAAGTGGAAATATATTTCTTTTGTCGAGATCTACCAGCCCTGAAAGTATTTGCACTTATTTAACACTGACCCTGTATATAATTACCAAAATTACATAATAAAAGCACAGCATATAAATCACACGGCAGGCCAACTCGCTTTGGCGGGAACGCTACGCGCATACCCTTGCGCACGCCGCCATTATGGGTGTCAGCGACAGAAATTAACCAGTGTCGTAGTCAGTCGTAGTCTTTGTCATCGACAACGTACAATTACGGCAGCTTTGAGTCAGTAGCGTGCGGCTTAATTTATTTTATTCTTTTCTTGAGTGATATATTTTGTATTTTTTTAGTTTTATTTTTGTTTATTGTGTGATATATTTGGTTTTTGTAGTTTAGTAGTACAATGGAAGTCCGAAATTCTTTTAGTTTTAATACTGTCATTGTCTACGGCATTCAAAGTAATTTTTATTATTAGGTATCCTGCAAAATGACAAACAAGATTAATTTCTAAATTACTGTTTTTCTGATTATCCGTATCTATTTTTAATTTTCATGGATAGCTCATGACAATTCAGAGAGAAAAGAAAAGAGGTCTCGTTTTTTTTATTAATTATTAAGGTCTGCTGTTTTTAATAAGATGTTTGCCAGATCATTTTGGCAATTTTCAGTACCCGTATGTAATATTCGGACACAAAGTTTTTAAATGTTCTTCTAAACTGGATGAATTTATCCTGGATGGGAATAATGACAGGTTTACAAGATATTGGAATTAGAAGAATTACAGGAATTACAAGATAAAGTTGTACCAGAATTTTATGAGTGCAACTGTACACTCAAATCGCTTGTCGCTAAGCTTTTATATAATATAAAATTGTGTAATGACATAATAAAAGTTTTAAAGAAAAAAGCTTATTTTTTCTTTTTAATGTATTTAAATAAAAGCTTGTTTTTAAAAAGTTTTTTTTCTTAAATTTATTTTTTACTTTTTAAGTTATGCTGGTTTGGCAGTGCCACACACTTAAACTCAATTCTTTTTCTTAAATAACTACCTATGGGCATCCTAATTATATGTGTATCGATTTTCATAAAAAAGGAGAACTTAAAAAAACGACAGCTGTCAAATTTGACAGTTCAATTGTGAGACAAATAAAATGAAAACCGACTATGGGGTAGGGAGCATCCAATATATCGATTTTTATCAAAATCAGACAACTTTGAGATTTTTTTGACAGCTGTCAAATTTGACAGCTCAATTTTTTTCTTTCCTTTTAACCCATGGCCATCCTATATATAGATTTTTATCAAAATCGGACAACATTGAAATTTTTTTGACAGCTGTTAAATTTGACAGCTCAATTTTTTTTCTTTCATTTTAGCCCATGGCCATCCTATATATCGATTTTTATCAAAATCGGACAACTTTGAAATTTTTTTGACAGCTGTCAAATTTGACGGCTCAAATTTTTTTTGACGGCCTGGCTTTTAAAAATATAACCAAACAGTTATATTTAAATTCATCAGTTACTGTTCTTCCTTTAGCTGATTTGTTAATTTGTGCAATTTGAATATTAACAAAATTTGCTATATCCATTGATGGACATAATTTGTACGTAGCCTCTTTAGATTGTTCAATAGATAATTTATTGGGTATTTCTTTAATTCTTGTTTGTAACTCCTGGACTCCTGGCATGTTTTTTAATTTTAATTGTCTATTCTCTAAAGTTAAATGTTTAATTGATTTTTTCATTTTTACTTTTTGAGGAGTATGCGCGGTTAACGATTCATTTGTTTAGATAAAAGTATTGTGTAAATAAAATTCAGTTTCAGTCAATTATAGTATTTTTTTAATACGACCCTGTCTAGCAATAGTTTATTTTCTGGGAAATTTTTTGATACGTTTTAATCCGGCCCTGACTCGGCACCCATAATGGTGTTTTCAAGGTCAAATTTTATAGAAATTTTAAACAATGGGATCTGGGCAGAGTTAGCCTGCAGTGTGATTTATATGCCGTGATAAAAGGTAAATGATTAAACATAAATGAACGAAGCTAGTAACTATTAGTAGTAGACCTTTTCAATTAGTAGAAAAAGTTATCAAACTTTTAACTTTTCCACTAATTATACTTCAAATTTATTAGAGATATCACTTTGGTCTTTGATTATCTTCCATCAAGAGAAATTGTGGTTAGAACTCAAAAGTTTATTGTTTTATAAGCAACTGACTACCGCAAGCTGTTTCTAGGATATCCTATTAATTTTAATTGTTTTTTTTAGATATTGTGAATGATCGTACACTAAAAAGTATAAAGTGCAATTGAAACCACTAATTTATTCCACTAATTGCGTGGTTCGGTTTGAATGAAATTTACTTAAGTTAAGGTTTCAATTAGAGTAAAAGTTTGTTGCTCCTTTAATTTGAATGTAAGCATTCAGAACGTCAAAATTAAAAAATATTTTCAATATGGCGGCACACAAATGTCATTTTAGCCTTTGATTATCTTCCGTCAAGAGAAATTGTGGTTAGAAATCCAAAGTTGATTGTCTAATAAGTTAAATATTAGGCTTTCTCTATGGATACAACTAACTAATAGGATATTCTATTCATTTTAATTGTGTTTTTAAACATTATGAATGATCCTACAGTAAAGTTTTATTTAGAACCTCGCAATTAGTGGAGTAAATTAGTGGTTTCAATTGCACTTTATACTTTTTAGTTTACGAGCATTCACAATGTCTTAAAAAACAATTAAAATTAATAGGATATCCTAGAAACAGCTTGTGGTAGTCAGTTGTATTTTAGTTTACGATCATTCACAATATCTAAAAAAAACACAATTAAAATTAATAGAATATCCTAGCAACAGCTTCCAATAGTCAGTTGTATCCATAGAGAAAGCCTAATATTTAGCTGATAAAACAAAACTTTTAACCGAATGTCTAACCGAATTTTCTCTTGGCGGAAGATAATCATAGACCAAAATGACATTCCTTACAATTTTTGAAGTATTATTAGTGGAAAAGTCAAAAGTTTGTTAACTTTTTCCACTAATAGAAAATTCCTACAACTAATTTTGATATGCTGAATGCTTACATTCAAATTACAGGAACAAACTTCTACGCTAATTGAAACCACTAATTTATTCCATTAATTCTAGCGATGGGAACTATCGAATGAATTAGACTATCGAATGGTTACTGAATGAATGATTTCAACTATCGAATGGTTTTATTCGAATAAAATCATTCATTCATTTGTATACTAAAGCATATGTGACAACCTCGCCGTGCGACTAAATGGTTATCGTTGCCCCACGACTATCGAATGCTTTTGATAAATGAAATTTAGTATTCGTTTAATTTTTCTGTGCGTCAGTGCATTATTAGTTCTTCCAAATTTTTATAACTTCGCCTTGTAAATACTGGGCTATTTTTGCGTTTATTAAAATATTTAAAATACTAAAATAGTAGTTTTTTTTTAATTGACGATTGTGTGCGAAGTGGTCAAAATTTTTCCGAAAATTTGTGT